TTTTGTTGCTGTAATTAAAACACATGATTATAGTTCGTAATTTTTTTTAATGTTTTATTGTGAATTATGTGATAGTTTACATGGGAGAACAATAGTTCTACATTCATCCTATCGTATATCGTTTCATTGCCATGGTTGCAATCCCCTCCATGCATCATCACCCAACCAAGGGGTATACACTACAAGCTTGACCCCCAGTCATCAGCACACAGCCCCTCTCCCTCTCTGTGTCTAAAGTCCCCAGCTGCTCCATCTCTCCATGTCATCATCTCTGCCTCCTATAGTTCGTAATTCTTAAAGGTGTCTAAAAATGTTTTTTAAATTCTTTTGTGTTTGTTACTTAGGGAGAGATATACTTCTGGGTAATATTTTAACTCTTGTAACCTGTGGTACATAGAAGTATCACTTACATTATCCACCTGTAGGGTTTCTTGGGCAGCTTTTTCCCCATGTACAGAACATGCACCAGGGTGTGGGGACATGTAATTTTCTAGACCAGAAGGAAGGTCTTTGGTGACATATTACTGTATTAAGGTTATTGTGTGAGGTGGCCAATTCTGGAGGAGTGGTTATGTAAAACTTTTGTTTCTTTGGGCCTTTGTACAGAGAGATAAAGCTTGTAAATATATGATGGTGTCTTGTGTATTGTTGGGAAGGTGTGGTATTCTGGAATAGATAATATGTAAGAGAAAATATTTTCTCTGCTTCACCCACTTGTCCTACCACCGGAGTACATTTGGACATATGTGTCTCACATAACATTCATAAAGATCCATCATACCTAATAAAATTTAAAAACACTCAGTGATGCAGCATGCATTCCATTAACAAAAAAACCCAGTATACCTACAAAATCTTACAAAATAAAAAATAATTTGGTAATGAAAGGACTATTAAATGCTTATTTTATATAGAAGAACTTAATTTTAAAAGGAAAGATATTCACTCATCTTTGTTATCTTTACCATCCTGATTATGTAACTCTGTCAGTTAAAATTGACTACTGAGCTTAGGATTGCCCCCTTGGGTTGTGATACCACAAGTTTTTTACCTATTACTGTGAGAGCACACTGATTGACTTCCCTTAACACTACCAATCCCCAAGCCTAGTCCTGACTGATTGGCTTTGGACATTTAAAATGTCTGCTGCGTATCTTAGAGCTGAGTAAGTATTAACTCATTTCATTGTTTGATGGTAGATTCAGTTCACATACACTATCAAATTCTTGATATAGTAGACCCTATACAAGCTTTCCATTGCTTATATTTTCAGCTCAGGAATCATGTTTCAGAGTCATGGTGTGGTGCTGTAGGATAAGTACTGGACTGCTAACCACACATGGTCAGTGCCCATAAGCTGTTCCTTGGAAACCCTATAGAGGGTTGTTAGGAGTTGAAACAGACTCAAGGGCATTTAACAATAACAATCATATCTTTAGTATTCTAAGGACTAGAAAGGTTTATTAGGCATGACATACTTGAGGAAATAATTTCCTTTGCATCTTCTTAAGAGTTTTGGTAATATTGAATGAAGTAAAATTTCCGTTGTCTTGGGATTTTGATCATTTTGTTGTTGTTGTTGTTGTTATGTGCCGTGGAGTCGGAACCGACTCATAGCGACCCTGTACAGGGTTTCCGAGGGTGTAAATCTTTACGGGAGTAGAAAGCCTCATCTTTCTCCCGCGGAGCAGCTGGTAGTTTCGAACTGCTGACCTTGCGGTTCACAGCCCGAGTCGTAACCACTACGCTACCAGAGCTCCTTGATCATTTTAGTATAAAAAAATCAACATATATATATATATATATGTATATATATATGCATATTTTCCAATATTCTGTATTAGCAAGTAGATGTCCTACTGTGTAATTTTATCATTATTGCTATTGTTTGCATACTTCATGACTTTTGTTATAGAAAGCTTTACCTGTCCATTTAGCCGTAGTTTTTTCCTCCTTGTCTATAATAAAAAGGCACTTCTTAGCTATCACACTTGTCAGAGAATTGCTTGTAATGGAAATTATTTTTGCCCTAGGTAAATAACAAACTATGGACTTATTTAAGACATTAAAGACATAATTTATTACGTTTGCTTATATCGTACCGCTCAATGACTAGTGACTGATTTCATGTTTTAGATTCTTAATATACTTAATGTTTAGTTCCGTTGAGTCAGCTCCAACTCATAGTGACTCTGTATAGGGTTTCCAAGGAGCATCTGGTGGGCTTGAACCACCAACCTTGTAGTTTACAATCCAGTGCTTATTCTACAATGCCATACTGGGAGGCCTTAGTAAATTAAAATATGAACAAATACAATTGTTAATAATCCCTTATTTTCCATTACCCAATTAAAAAAATTTTGTTGAAATTCAACCCATATATTTTACTTTTGAATTCATTGTTTAGTTATGTCTTCTTTACATTTATAAGCATATAAGAGGCTTTAAAATTTTTATGGAAAAAATGAAATGAAAAGATAATGAACTTTTTCTAGAAATTTTTGGAAGCCCCCCTCATATAGCTTTGTGTATAAAGCTTTCTTGGGCCAGTTAGTTTAAATTCTTTGTCTTTTTACAAATGTGATCATTAGTTTTTTTCTCTTTTAATTTTCATCATATGCTGATATGTAAATATAAGTTTATTCAGAATATTCTTTGTGATTTTAATATAAATCAAAACATTGGACCCTCAGTGTCACTTAGTTTGTTATTAATAAATAGAATTCTGTTTCAGGTAAGTTGTCCTAAACCTCATTCAGGAGCATTAAATGTTTTCATGCCATATGTTTACAAATATTTAACTTTGTTATGTGAGGATGTTAAGAGAATTGTTAGAATGACATGTTATACTATAACATTACAGAGGAATCCCTGGGTGGTGTTAATGGTCAACAAACTTGACTGCTAAATGAAGGGGTTGGAGGTTCAAGTCCACCCAGAGGTGCTTTGGGAGAAAGACCTGGCAATCTACTTCCAAAAACATCAGCCACTGAAAGCCCTATGGGGCAGTGTTCTACTCAGACACACATGGCATCTCCATGAATTGTGATCACCTCTTGTGCAACTTGATAATGGGAAAGAGCCTAGGATTGGAAATTTAGGAACAAGTTTTTTACTTTTTTCTAAATTTCTGTATATTAAAATTATGATACTAGTTTTTATCTTAGGTTTGACATTTAAGTTAGCAGGGAAAACCAACTTAACACTTGTAATTGGTTGTGGATAAAATCTTGAGAGTGGTTAATTTAGGAGCAAAAATTAAAAGTTGATTATGTATGCATATGCCTATCTTTCAGATGGAGTCATGGTGTGGTGCTGTAGGATAAGCACTGGACTTGGTAACTGCAAGGTTGGCGGTTCAAACACACTTGCTGCTCCTTGGAAACCCTATACAGAGTTGTTATGAGTTGAAACCGACTCAAGGGCACTTAATAACAACATCTTTCAGATATATTTTGTGGTAATGTTTATTGAAGGACTTGAATATTCTGAGAAACAAAAAGATTCCTTATAAAGTTAAATTCTGATGCTGTCAATGTAAAATTTTCATGTCACCTTCTGGTCACTATTCTATTTTGTGTTATAAATGCTCATCTTTTTACTGTTGGTGCTTATTTTGGTAAAACACATGATATATAAGAATAAAGTCACACAAGATACACCAACTAAGTCCATAGTTAAACTACCACATACATTTCCCTTATGGCTGACTGGCTGGCTGGCTGTGTGCTTCCAAGTTGGTTCCGACACACAGTGATCCTGTATATGGTTTCCAAGCCTGTAAATCTTTACAGGAGCAGAATGCCTCATCTTTGTCCTGCAGAGTGCCTGGTGGACTTGAACTTAAGACCTTGAGGTTAACAGCCCAACGTGTTAACCCACTACTACACCATCAGGGCTCCTACATTTCTCATAGAGGATATTAATCCACTTTATTGAACACATGTAAAGTATTTTATCTGAATAACAAAATAAGGTAAGGGGATTACTAAATGAATTAGTTGGTAGTTTATTGGCTGCTTCAGATGAGTTAGAGTTGCTGTTTGCCATACATTTGAAACTGCAGAGATTTTGCAGTGTCCAGGTCATAGTGGTTGTTTTAACAGTTGTTGTTGTTAAGTGCCACTGAAGCTTTTCTGACTCGTAAGTATCCTTTGTAGAGTTTCCAAGGAGCTCCTGGTGAGTTTGAGCCTCCAGCCTTGTAGTTCAAACCATCCTTGGGGTCCAATGCTTTTATCCCACAGTGCTGTACCAGGACCCCATCTCTAAAATCAGTTATTCTGGTTTAAAGTATAAAGGGAAGAAAAAAAAAAAAAAAGCTTTTCAGTTTTTTAACTTATTGTAAAAGACTTTTATATTTCTTAAGCTTTTATCAATCTTTCATTAGCTTTAGCTTTATCATTGTTAACTGTCTTCTTAGTATGTAGTATTGTAGCTAATTGCTGATAATTTGAATACCTTATGTACTGTTGATATTTAAGTATATATTATGGAGTATTTTAAATTATTCATGTCAATGGTAGGGAGAAATATCGATAAGGAGGAAAATAGCAATAAATAATCAAAATTAATTTTAGGTTTAATATGGATATCTTTATGGTAGATTTTGCTTATGTAAGTAACATTACAAATGTTACATATGTAAGTAAAATCTAAAATAGTAAAATGTGTAGTAATTGTGAATTAAATGACAGCTGGTAAAGATGGTATAGAAATATCAAAAAAGTCAGACAAAAGTGAGCTGGGATTTCAAAGTTTTTTTCTTCTTGTTATGAAGTGTATATATTATTGAGATTTGTATATATAGTAAGGTTAATATTGATGAATGAGTTTGATATTTCAGAGTTTAATGTATTTGCTTTGTTGTTGTTGTTAGGTGCCTTCGAGTTGGTACCAAGAAAGAAAATTTTTATGTCTAGTTCTATGTAACATTTTAACAAAATAGGTACTAAATAATACATTATAACTTTTTTTCTTTTCTTTTCATTATTTTTTTTTAGGGTATGAGTATTATAGAACAATTAGACCCTGTATCTTTTAGCAATTACTTGAAGAAATACCATAATACAATATGTGGAAGACATCCCATTGGGGTGTTGTTAAATGTGAGTATTCTTATGAAACCTTGACTTTTAACATTTGATCCTGTGGTGTTTCAAAATATCTTAAATGTTATTATCTGTGATACTTTATCCTTGGTTTTATGTACATATCCTCAGTGTTCTTTCAATACACCTTTAAGATAATGAATTTCATCATTTTAGTCACTTGAATAAAGTTATTTATTGCTGGAATATAGGTCAGTACTTTCTGTTATATACAGGAAGTTTTTTGGAATAGGGACCGCTGTTTTCACTTTACCAAATTCAGTGTGTTCTTTTACAATCAGACGGGTCTTTTAAGAGATAACCAACAGTCTTACTAATTTTTTGGTTTTATTTATTGTACTCATTGGTAAAGTTGTGTGTTGTTGAGTCAGTTCCAACTCATAGCAGCCCTGTGTAGGGCTTCTGAGGCTGTAAATTTTTACGGGAGCAGAAAGCCTTATCTTTTTTCTGAAGAGCAGCTTATAGATTCGAACAGCTGACCTTGTGATTATCCACTATGCTACTGAGTCCTTTGTTGTTGTTGTTAAGTGCTGTCGAATTGATTCTGACTCATAGCAACCCTATATAGGTTTGCCAAGGAGAGGTTGGTGAATTTGAACCACTGACCTTGTGGTTTGAACCTGCCTTACGGTAGTGTTTATCCTACAGCTCCACGCCAGGATTCCTTTAGATGCTTTATACAGAAGAAGTTAGGGAAACATTTAATCCTTGAACTTTAGACGTTTTGATTTAATAAAGCAAGGCAGATGGCACATAATATTTTTCTCTTTACAACAAAAAGGATAATATTTATTTCATTTGAATAAGCAGAAATTTTGGTCAGCTGGGTTTTATAAAGCAATATCACATTTTTCCCCCAACACATTAATATGAATTTTCTGAAAGAAAAGGTGAGCACACGCTTTAAAAAAGAAGACAGAAAGTATGTACTCAAGAATGAAAGGTGGAAGTAGCAGTGGGCTCATTTGGTTGGAGAGAAATAATGGTGAAGGTAATGTGGTCCATAATAGTTTTAGGGCAGGGCCTTGAAGTCTAGTGTTATTTCAGTGTTAATTGAAGTGTGGATTTTGAGGAAAAACTTTATGTTAATAAACAATACTCATTGACTGGAAGAAAAACCAGTTAAGGACTTGAACTAATTTCTGTAATTTAAACTATAATAAACTCTACTAGCGTAGTGGTTATGAGTCGGGCTGCCACCTCAAGGTCAGCAGTTCGAAACTACCAGCTCTTCTGCAGGAGAAAGATGAGGCTTTCTGCTTCTGTAAAGATTTACAGCCTCGGAAACCCTGTGCAGGGACACTGTGAGTCAGAACCCACTCCACAGTACTTAACAACAACAACAAATTTCTTAAAATCTGAAGTGAATTAAACAAGCTTTTTATAAATTATATGATGAGCCAATCTACAACAGAAATAAAAATTCTAGTGTACCGCATAGATCTGGCACCTAATTGATATACATTTCAAATTTAGCATCTCAAGCTAGCAGTGGCCAAGGTTTGGTTTAAAGGGTTATTTTTTATATTTGTGTTTTAAAGTGTCCTAACTAAATACAGGGAAAGGGTAAAGTAGAAGATGACTGATAATTATTTATCAGGAATCTTGTTGTTAAAGTGCCTTCCAGTTGGTTCTGGCCCAGAGTGACCCTGCATAGGTTTTCCAAGGAGTGGCTTGAACTGCCGACCTTGGAAATTAGAGTCGGAGAATTTCTTTGAAAGTATTAAATGAGAAATTTTCTCTGTTTTCTATTTACTATGAGGCAATAACAAGAGCAACTCAGGAAACGAATGAGCAAAAAGTAATAAGAGACCTAGGCTTCATCAGTGAAGTGAACAAAGTGCTCACTTTTATTTATGATGTTTGTCATATACCAAATTTTCTTTTTCTAGGCTATCACAGAACTCCAGAAGAATGGAATGAATATGAGCTTTTCCTTTTTGAATTATGCCCAGTCAAGTCAGTGTAGAAGCTGGCAGGACAGTTCAGTGAGTTATGCAGTTGGAGCGCTCACGGTCCACTGAAGCTCTGACTCCTCAGGGATCCACCTGCACATACTCATACTCTGTCTGGGTCCCAGCCTAGCCCTTACAAAGATACTGTTCCTGGTTTGGGGGTTTCAGAAACCTCAAATGAATAGAACTTCTCTTCTCTTCTTTTCTAGTAGGTGTAGTCCTTCCTTAATTTCAACTCACTAAAAAATGCTTTGTTGTTTAGGGCAGTGGAAGGAAGGCTGACATTAAATATCTTGATCAAAAAAGATGACTATGTAAAGGCCCAATTGTGGCAGACAGTTTTTGAAAGTAACTTGTAAAGCATTTATCATATCCTAAATTTGCACTCTTTGCAGACTTGTGCACATATATTCCGCTTTCAGAATAGTTTTGCGAATTGTACACAAACAAACAAACAAACAAAAAGGGGTGGAAGCTTTTTAATAAAGAAATTGCATTTATAAATGATCTGTATTAGAATATAATAAATCTCCAGTTATAGTCAATTACTACCCATGTTGTACAACAGATACCTTCTATTTTAGTTGCTAATAAAGGGCTACACAACTCAAAATAGTCTGATTTAAACTTATTACTCTGTGGTATATATGAATTTTTTTTTTAATTAATCGCATCTCAGAATTTTTTTGTTAAGAATGGTAACCCTCAGCTCTTAAGTGAAAAATATTTTAGGATGTATTTTATATTTTACATATTCACGTGATTTTTTTAATCACAGAAATTAGTATTATATTGTTTTAGAGTTGTATTTAAAATTACATTGTTTGCCTTTCTATGTGTGATATCCCTTTGTGTTAAATACTATAATTGTAATAGAATATAAATTCAAGATTGGGGATTGGTAAAAGAACACAGGTCTAGTTCTTCACTTTCAAGTGTCATTCTTGATAGGCAGTAGTCTGCAACTGAGGAGTATTGAAGAGTGTTTTTAGTGTTTTTCAAATGATTGCAGACCATACACTGCTATAATATTTTAGTGCTTTTTTCAATTTGATGCTTTTACTTGAATATTTAGTAAGAAATCATGAATCACAACAAAACCCACTGGATTTTCTTGTAGTTCTACTTTTTTTTTTTTTTTTTAATTTAAAGATTTTTGGTGTGGCTCTTCTACTAAAATAATGGTATGGTGTTGTATTACTTTCTTTAGCATAGAACAAATCTATTAATTTGGCAAAAATCTGTAATTTGTTTAATTAATTATTTAGCTACCATTCATATACTAGGGTTTATAATTATTTTAACCTAACACTGGGTGTCTGCATTATATTGAGGAACATTTTAAATCTTCGTGATATGCCAGAATAGCACAACTTCTAGATGCCTTGCACCAGTTTTATTTAAAAATCGACTTTTTTATTGATTAAATATCAACTTTTTATACTCAAGAACTGAGATAAAATAATATTGCCTTTCTGATTCAAAATTGCCCACCTATATGTGTGGAAATTACATGCTTACATATTAGTGATTTGTTTCCTGTCATTTGCAAATACTTTTTGAGGAATCGAGAATGAATTCTTTGCTATATAAACTATAAAAATTTAAAAATTGACTACAAATGAATTTTTAAAATAAGTTTTCTGAGTATAAGACTAATACATGATTATTACGAAATAGTTGAAAATATTGGAAATTATAAATAATTGCAATCTCATGAACCAGAGATAACAGTGTTAATATTTTACTGTCTTTCCTTTCAGTCTTTGTGTATGCATATATATGTATGAGTGTGTGTTTATGTGCTTGTGTGTAATAACAAAATTGAGATTATATTGACCATATGGTTGGTGTACCCTGCTTTTTTTATAATTTTATATCATATCATTAGTACTTCTGCATATCTTTGAAAATGTTTTTTAAATGACTGACTAATATTCTATTGTATTAATATACTGTAATTTGACAATTGTCTCTTTGGATATTAGATATTTGGCTATCTGTCACAATTATAGATAATAATAGGATGGACATTCTTGTATGTGTAACTTAAACACTATATTAGGATATTTAAGATAATGGTGAAGAAATTATTGGTTTAGACAGTCAGAGCTTTTTAGGCTCTTTAAAATAGTGCCAAATTATCCTGAAAAATGCTTGATCAAATTGGCAGTGTTTGAGTACTCATTGTACTTCACTTTCATAAGTATTATTTTTTTTTCTCTAATAGTTGGCAATTTGTTAAGCAATGTAATTGGTTGTTCATTTGGTCATGCTAGTACAAATTGTTTTTTTGTTTAATTCTACAGTTGACTGATTTTTAAAAAGACAAGGGGTGCCTAGGTTGGGTGGATTGCAGGCCTGGGAATATGCGTATTGCACTTTTAAAACTCTAGAGTATTTCAACATCACTCTACCTTTTTTTTTTTAGTATATGAGACTATCCTTCATAGCTGTCTTGCAATACAAAGTTCTGAACAGATTAGTTGAGTGTTAAATTCCATTGCTGTGTTTGACCATAGATATTTCATGCTTTATGGAGAGGAGACTTTTTCATCTTTTCAGTGTATAGATGATCTCTTAAGCATCTTTCAGTTTGAAAGTATTTTGATGTTTTAACTTTTTACAGCTTCTCATGTTACTTCCTGATGTTAAAAAGCCACATGATTGAATTAGATCAGTGATATTATCTTTTCATTTCAACCCTATATACCTGAAAATGAAAGTCTTATTATTTAACACAAAATAAGAATTGATTTGCAGTATTTAATATTGTAAATATCACCTAATTGCTGAACTTAACCTTTCATTTAAGTGCCTTTAAAAGTGTTTTATATTTGGGATCTAATATGTAAAGGAAATTATGTTGTTCTATAGAATTGCTTCTTGATTATATGCTTTTGAGTTATTTGCAACAGCATTTTTTTTTTTTTTACCTTAAATTGCACAGAGCAGCATATTTGTGGATTCTTCATGCTCCACTCACTAGTGAATCATTAAGAAATGTATGTTAAAGATAAATTCAGTGAGCAGGTAAGTAAATGCTTTGTCTGTTGTGGACAACAGATCTTCATAAAAGTAGGATAAAGGAAGCTATATTTCATTGTTTATATTTTTATTTATATATTCCAATATGGATGGTCAGTGTCCTGAATTAGTTAATGATGATTGTTACATGTATTAAATTTTGCTTTTGTAGCAAAAGTTCATTCCCCTAGATTAGGGATTGGCTAGTGTTTTCTGTAAAAGACCAGATAGTAAATCTTTTAGGCTTTGTAGTTATATGGTTTCTGTCACAACATTTGGATTTTGCCATTTGTATCATGAAAGCAGCCATACATAATATGTACACAAATGAATGTGGCAGTGTTACAGTAAAACTTTATGTGCACAGACAGTGAGCTGTAGCTTGCTGTCTTCTCTTCTAAGTGATAAATAATTCACTTGTGATTCAGATTACTGGCTAGTAATTTAAACTACATCTGCTGTGGGTTGATGTGTGCTGGACTGCAAAGTTGGCTTGAACTGCAAGGTCGGTGGTTCAAGGTCACCAGCCACTCCTCAGAAACCCTATACAGGGTTGCTGTGGGTCGGAACCAACTCAGTGGCACTTAACAACAACAATTTAAACTACAGCAACAAGTGGTTGTGCATTTCTGTCATCCCTGCTCTTCCAATTTGACATAGTTTGGTTGGCTGGGGTTAGGTGTTAACTTTAGATCATACAGGTAAGTGGTTATTGGAAACTAGGAACTTTACTGTTGATATCTAGTGCAGCCCTTTTTATTCAAAAGAGTGCTCAATGAAGGCTGTGATCAAGTTATATTAAGTGCTTGGCTACCTCATGATAGGAAGGATGTATCAAATGAACTTTTTGAAAATTTACCTGAGTGTATAGGACACTAGACTGGTTTAAAAAATTTTTTTTAAAGTGATAAAATTTGAGACTTTGGAAAAATAACTACCATCTTCCATGACCAACAATTTACTTAAAAAATTACCGCCCTTTCCCCATATTTAGGATGGACATAAACTCAGAGTAAAAGTTATTTAACTTGAATAATTAGTTATAAAAAAATATATATATGTTCTTTTTTCATCTGGATCACTGTTCTTTTACTCTGGACACTGAAATCTTCATCAAGGAATAGTTTCAGTCTCAGAGACCGGCATTTGGGAAGTGCCTCTGATACAGTTGCTGAATGAACTAATGTAATTATAGAACTATTATTTATTAGGAGATATAATAAACCTTATGTGCACTCTGCTTTAAAGATGAAAACTTTTGTATTGTGTTAAAGTATAAATATCACATATTAAGAGAGACATTATGAAATGTTTATAGGGAGACAAGTTCAATGATTAAAGGCCTGGATTAGGTACTGTGGAGAAAGGAAGAAACTGAAGGTATTTGTTTTAGCAAATAGTTTTAAATTCAAATTTTGCAATTGTGCAAATAGTTTTCTTCAAATATTTGCATAAAAGAAAGAATAACGTTCTTTGTTATTCTTGATAGATACATTAGAAATAAGGAATATTTACTGCTCTATGTGAGAATGTCTAATAATGAAAACTGGCTCTGCTTCTTAAAATAATTTGAAATATTCAGGCAAAGCTATACTACTAAACAAAAGTAGTTCTCAAAGTATCATCCCTAGACTATCAGCATTAGCATCACCTGGGAATAGAATATAATGGTTATCAAATTAAAAAATGGTTTTCTAGGGTGGCACAAACAGTTAAGCTTTCATCAAACCATCCAGAGGCACCTGGAAAGACAGACCTAGCAATCTGTACACATGTGGTTTACTATGAGTCAGAATCAACTCTACAGCAACTACAACAACAAAAACAAAGCTAAAAAAGTGAATGGAACTGCCTTAATTTGTATAAGACTTAGGAAAATAATTTTTAAATCTGGATTGATTTTTGATCATTTGACAGAAACTAAATGCAAAGATTTTAAATTGATAAATCTTTTGCTTAATTGTTACTGGTGGAACAACAGCCCTTAGAATAATTTATTTTATTTTAGTCAACCATTTAATTGTAAGGTAGTGTCACTAAAATTTAAATTGGACTTCTAATAAATGACTTATTTTTCTTATACAGAGGTGCTTCTTAATCTCAGAGCCATATCAGTTGCAGAAAAAGGTACCTCAGGACTTGCTCTTTTTATATCTATATCTGTCCAAATGGAGTCCTGATGTGTTGCTGTAGGATAAGCACTGGACTGCTAACTACAAGGTTGGTGATTGAAACTCACCAGCCGCTCTTCGGAAACCTTATAACATGGTTGCTATGAGTCCCATCCGACTCGATAGCACTTAACAACAACAGCTGTACAATAATGAGAGCAGCCTGCAGATCAGGAGTGTTCCCTGTCCACTCCCTCATCTTCCATTCCCAGCTCATACCTGTAAATGCAACTGCGTGGCATGCACCCTATCCTCAGTGACCATGTGATATGGTTTGTAATAGCTTCCTTAAGTAATACTGGTAACTAGGACCTCTGCCACTTTAAAAATCGTTGTAGATGGGTTTTGTTTGCCTATCTTGTTTTTATGAGTTCATTGGCATAGTCTGTTGGTTGGGTACTATGTGAAATG